CTGGCCGAGCGCCCTGCCGGAGCCGTGTTATTTCCCTCGCGCTGAAAAGAAGCTGAGGATAGTAAACGCCACTTTGGCAAGTAGCGAGCTAACTCTATTTCATGATAATTTATTTTTGGAGATAACATGGACATTATAAAAGAGCAACCAACTAATAAATAACTAAACAAAAAGCCGGCTAATAATGACAGCAGAAAGCAGCCCCTTCTAATATATGGCAAAACGAGGGGGATGAATAACTTTTTGAGGGCCGTCCACGAGGACAGAGCGGCGTGAGATATGGCGAAGGTGAGCGCGCTTTTATCGATTACTGTAACGTTGCGAATAATTCACTTCCACCCCCCTACGGCTGTTTTTTACTAAATGCTGGTAAACTGAAACCGGAGCTAAGAGGAGGATAAAACTTCATTTCCAGTCCCGCTCGGCATTTCTCCCGAGAGATGCTGTTTAGTAATATTAAAAAAAAAAAAACAAACCACACACACAAAAAAAACCCAGCCCAAAGACATGCTCTTGAGGTTTGAATAACCCACAGGAGCGCTCCGAAGGTACCTGCCCGCACCGCGCCGCCCTGCCCTGCCATCTACCTTAGGAGGCATCTGCTCCACAGGCACCGCTCCTGGGGAAAGCCCTTCACATCACAGAATCGCTAGGTTGGAAAGGACCTTCAAGATCATCAAGTCCAACATGACGCAGGGAGAGCTGCCCCCATTAGGTTTCCCCTATTTGCCAAACATGAAGAAATGGGGGGACCCCACAAATAAGGCAGGTTTGGAAAGAAAACCGTTTTGTTTCCCATCTCACTTGGGAGGAGGGGAAGAAAAGCTTCGTCCGGGCGTTTCCGTCCTCCGGCGAGCCGACCGGCGATTTGGGGACAGGACGGGCACGCGGCGCGAGCTCCCCGCCCTGCCTCCCGGCTCCGCGGTTATCCCGCGTTTGGCCTGACAAGCCGAATCAGGCGAGCGGAAAGAGTCTCGGTCGTCTACAGCAGGCATTTAACACTTTAATCGCTTTAAAAGCCCTTGGAATAATATTTAGCGTTTCATCCTGAAGCCGGCGTCGAAATAAAATGCGCTGCGGTGTTTAGTATGTGCCAGGCATGCGAGTGCAGATAAATACTTAAATCTGCTGAAATTAGAGGGAAATTCAATCGGACGTGCACATTCCTATGCTCGTTTGTGAGCTAGGGCAACATCGTAAATGGGAAAATTTCATCTTGCTTCGCCGTAATGAAGTGGAAGTTTTTAACACCAGGGTAGGAGCTAACAACGTAAGGCTACCTCGCCTCTCTACCTTACAGATCAGGTCAGAGAAAATAGCGTTTTGTCTTATAATGAGGATACAACATCGAGCGTTTGCTACCACATTTTAGCATTCCCATCAACTAGATTTTCTAGATCATAAGGGCAGCTCGTGTAATCATAATGTCAATGAGAAGGGCTGTTACGACTGAGACTAAAGATTACATCGAAAAAGCTGCTTTGAAACTGGTAATTATTACCAGTCCACTAATAGCAAATGATGCATTACGGTTTCACTGTATAATCTGTATTTCACTCAGCTCCTGCCAGTATGGCCTTATTGTATTACGGCACTCACAAATTCTAAATTCCTAAACTACAGTCATCAATAAATGTGTTACTTGCCATAATTTGCAAAATTACTTTGTTCATAACATCTTCGACTGTTATAAAGACTAGAATTGATTTCCTGCATGGCCAAATTAGGGCTACATTGATTTAGTGGAGTGTAAAATGTAATATTATTCTTCATTTGCTTGCCTGAAAAATAAGTTTTCAACTCACCATCCGCGTTTGGGAATCAAAATAATAATTTAAATTTAAAACCATGTTTATGTACAAAACTTCCCTAAACAACTCACCGTTTTCAAGGGAGCAACATAAAACCAGGCAATAAAATAAAGCAGCGAAACAGTTAAAATCCACCAGCCATTTGCCTCCACCTCCTGCTTTGAAAAGACACAATTTCTAATTTGTCTATTAGTGCTTGATTAATTATGAAGGCTATTGACTGACCATATCACTACCTAGAGATACGTTCCAGTCTGGTGCAGCCTTGCCAAACTGCAAGAATTATGGCACTAATCCACGCGTTGCCCGCCAGCGGCGAGACGGGTCCTTACACCGCTTGCGGCAGCCTCTGGCGTTGGAAGAGACTCGCCTTTCCTTCCCCCTGTCCCACCACCATGCTTTTCGGTACCGCGTTCGGGTCCCCCCAAAAGCCAGACGGGGTTGCAGGACCTGAAGGCTGTGGATCCGCTCTCTCCTAGCTACGGGCCCGGCTCTACGACCGCATGGGCTTCCAGCTAAAGCACCTGGACAAGACCACGGGCAAGCGAGGACAGCACAGCAGGGAGATGCAGTGACCGGTGCTAGCCGAGGACAGAGCTGGAGATGCTCCCGCGGGGCTCTTTGTGCCTCACCACCCACCACGGCAATGGGATGGGACGTGTTACCCAAAGCAGCGTTGTGATGCCATCGGAGCTTTGGCCAGTTTCCAAGAGGCTAGTGGGAATCCCTCAGGCCGAGAGGCAAAGAGGGGCACTGCTGAAACCGGCAATGGGGCTGGAGCCCGGGCGAAAGGGACCACCAGCTCTCACTCGCCGACTTTTCCTGCATTACACGTCGCTCAGTTGTCCTGTGCCATGACCAAAGACGATGTCTTTGGGTAAAGTGTAACCTCCTCCAGCCCCGTGAACAGTCTTTAGGGCAAAGCACGAAATCCCAGCGAAAACCATTCAAACCAGCTCAGAAGACAAGAGCACCCACTGCTTGCCACCGCAGTCGGTTCCCACCGCTAACCCCTTAGTATGCGCTCTGCCCCCCATACACACCAAGGATACCTGTGCACCCTGAAATCAAGGCACACTTCAAAATATAGCCGTTTTTTCCATCCTGAAGCCACCTCTCCATCCTCCTCCACTACTCAAGGACCAGCCTAGCCCTTCTCAGCCCAGCACTGTGCTGGGAAGGAGTTGGTTTTCTGCTAAGCCTCCTGCAAGAGCTGCTGCCTTCCCGGGGTACCGCACCCTGGATCTGTACCCACTGCCCCGATCCCCCTCTTCTAGACGGGCACCACAGCAGGTTGTACCCAACCATGCCCTCAACACACCCCACTTGACAGTCTTTCCAAACCCCTCCCAAAGCCAACCCTGTTGCTCTTCATCCACCCACCTTTGCTTTATCCACAGCCCTCATCAGTTGCAATTGCACATTCTTTTCTAAATCACCAACGAAATGCTAACCACCGCTGTGGCTCCCACCAGCCCCTGCTGACCTCTCCCATCCACCGATGCCTCTCCAGCTAAGCACCCGCTTCCCAAATCTGTTGGCTGGCTCTTAGTCGCCTGTGCTAGCGATACCGCCCAGGGCTCGGTCTTCCTACACACAATGTCACGCAGCACCGCGTCCAACGCCTTGCAGAGTCTATTTCATCTACATTTATCAACCAAAGTTGTCATCTGGAAGAATGAAATCAGGTTTATTTGACAAGATCTATATTCCATAAATCTAAGTCGAGTGGCATGAATTGTATTTCTATCCTTTAATTCTTTATCCATTGAATCTTATATCGTCTCTTCAATTATTTTGCCCAGAAGAGATAAGCAAAGTGTTGCCAGCTCTCCCACGGTTACCCCGACCAGCTCTTGATGGCATTTTCCCAGTCCATAAGCTTTATTAAATACCAGCATCACATGCTAACTCTTTAGGGATTCTTGGGTGCAAGTTGTCAGGGCCTTTTCATTTAAGAATATTTATCTCCATTGGACCTTGTATAAAATCCTCCTTGGCTACTAATGAGCTAGAAAAAATGTCATCACCCGCCTATGATACAGAAACGTAACACTGCTGCTTTCCAGGTCTACAGCAGAAATATTTATTAAAAATTTCTACCTTACTGCTTCTTCCATCCATCACTTCTAGGGTTTCTCTTTTCTCCAGGACCCTGAGAAGCTCTCCTCTTCTCCCCATCTGTGCCAGCCATGAGTTTTCCTCGGCATCTTCAGTGCCCCTGACCAGTTCTCTACCCACCATGGTTTCTCACTGTGATTGGTTGCTAACTATTTTCCTTTTTTTTTAATTGTCATATATTGATTTTTTTAATATCTAATTGCTGTTCTCATCTCACCACTGAAGCGGCTGAAGTGGGGTTTGGATTTGGGCCAAAATTGCCCTCTCCTTCCTGGACAAGCTCATCCAAGTCTTTACAAATAGCTCCCAATTACCATTCGCACTTTTGCACGTACATTTTTCCTCCCACTCAATTTTACTGCTCATTTTCTTCGTATTTGGGAAATGACCCCTTTAGGAGAATTACACAGGGATACCGTGTACCAAAGACAACCGTGGGGCCAGTATGAAACCTGACTGGTCTCACCCAGTGAAGTCTTGCCCACCGTTACGTACCGATTCCTTTTCTACACCCTGGCCAGCAAAAGACTAGTGACAGGGCACGGCGTTTCACTACAGCACAAATGTGTAGTGTTTCTCAAGTTATTGGGTCCTGCCGAAAAAAAAGCAGCAGAACAGCTCTTGCCTGCCATGCCCCCGAAAGAAGTGATTTAACAAGTGACACACAAGTGACAGATTTAGCTTCTGATCCGAAAAATGTTAACAAATGAGTGGGATGGATATTGGCATTTGAGCGCCTTTAAGGGCAGTTGGCAAAATTACTCAGTAAAATATGAAGAGGTGGCTGCCTTCAGCATTAAGGGGCTTTTTTTATATTAAAAAAAAAGCTGGTTTTTCTGTACTGTGCTCACAGATACACCCAGCACGCTCGAAGTCCAAGTTGAAGCAAACCAGCATCTCCAGGCACAATATAGCTGGCTCCGAGCAAGACCCACAGCCATGTCCACAGCCACCAGCGGCAAAGCCAGACAATATGCTGGGGAGAAGACCAGCTGGGAGGAGAAGCTGTCAGCTAGATGCCACTGCTGGGGGGAGTGGGAAGGATTTCTGGAACTAGGCATGCAAGTTCAGGCATTGCCAAGTGAGTAATGGAATAATCTGCAGGCGTGTGCCAATGTGCTTTGGAAGAGCTTCCTTCGTTTCTCAAAAGTCAGGGCTGGATCCAGGAAAGCTGCTCGCCGGACACACCAGCGCTTTACGGAAGAGCAACGCTGAAACACCACGTGCAGCATCCTCTCGGTACCCCTACCCAAAACAGGCAGCCCCAGCGCAGGACGTCGTGCGGGAAGGACCACCAGATTAAGAAGCAAAATATTAACATGACGTGTATTTTACCACAGAGCATCGTAGGGGCTCCACACAAACACGCAATATTAGAGACACCCCAGTTTTCCCAATGTTTTCACAAACAAAACAGCGGCGTAAGCAGTGACTGCGTACGTGCCAATGGTGTTTGCAAGGATTTCACTCACAGCTGCAGATTTACTCCCTTGGAGAAATCCCCGTGCCAGAGAAATTTCCAAGCAAACCAGGATTTGCCCCTCGCTGTCCGGACGGTCCAGCCCTTGCTCTCGGCAGCATCTTGCCACCAGCCTCGGTGGGGTAGCTGCTGTGTTCTCCTTCACCTTTCCCAAAAAACCTGCACGTGTAA